TGCAATGAGAACAACGAATATGTAAATGCATAAAGCAAGTCAGTAAATTCAACAAATAAATGAGTTAAACAAGAAGAATGAAACGAATTGAACGAGTGCGATTTGATAGGCGAGGATAAACCAACCAGACGGATATATATAAAGAGAGTGCGATGAGGACAGGATATAGCATCAAACAAGGGTGGATGGATGCTTTTACATACTGCATACGTACGTATATAAGCACATGCATGCTGCACCCATGAAAATGACAGCTTTAAAAATAACGGTTCGATATTGGAATAATGCTTGTGCGAAATAATGTGCGATAGAGATGAGACTTGACGAAACTGCCAATGGCGATAGAAAAGGATCAGCGAAAATAGGATATTGTCGCGAAATCGATATGTCTGAGAGAGAGAATAAAAGATTAATGCGACATTCGAAGTCATCAATTTTGTGACCAACCGCACTGGTATTGGACTTGGTTGTCAAACTGTTTTGGTTATTGAGCGAAGTAGGGTGAGCATGAATGGCAAGGTTTGAGGATAGAGGAGTAAGAAAGGGTACGGCAATACCGATCGAACCATGGACGGAGGTGTTATAAGGGAGCGAGCATGGGATAAAATGCCGCACAGTTGGAGACCTTTAATTTAATTTAGAAAAGGTGAGTGACTGATGCGATTCCCAAAAATTTATTTTGTCAAGCATTTTTAGATGGAAGATGTCTTTCTTCATTTATCTAAATCCGTATTTGATAAATAAATNATCAGATCTCATAGCTGTCATCAAATTCACTCAAACTTTCCATTTTACTGCACAAAAAAATTCGTTACGATATAAGGAACTTGTTGTGTATATTATGCTATTAACTTAGAATAATTCAAAAATTACTCAAAACAATTAACATCTACATAAATATGTCATAGGTGAACAATTGAAACGATTGCAAAGATTTATTTAATTTCTAACATTCATCAATAAAGTTATCTATTGTTCACGAAGAATCGCAATCAAATCGAAAGAATATTAACGATAAGTGAAATACCAATGACATATTCAATTATCAATTCATGAAACAGTCATATCCGCATAATGAATACGAGATCAGAACGGGTGAAACAGGAAGAAGCTTAGCGTCATAGCGCGAATCGTATCGGCTGAATGTTAGATCGAAACATCAAACACAACAGGTGCGTGATTGTGGCGGTGATGTTACAATCGACTCTGTGCAAACAGTCCAATTAAGACACAATTAATAGGCGAAATGAAGATACACACATTTTGAAATATAATGCGAGAATATACGTACGGCATTATTTGAACGATGGAATAATGCTCGAGGGGATCGATATGGGTAATTTATAGGAACAAGCGCATGAATACTATAATATGCACGTGTATTCATTCACTTTTGAGACAAGCATGCATTGAACATGAAAGAAAGTGTTTAGACATTATTCAGAAGAATTCTACTTTGAAATTAGAGTGTTACTCAAGATGAATTATAATAGTTTAACTTTATCGGAGTGGTTTCAAATATAGAGAAGTATAAAAGAGACAAAATGACCAGTTTTTCGCAAGTGAAACAAAATAATTATCATTAACGTTGGAGTTATCAACTATTACTTTTGTTATTATAGAAAATGGAACCCTAAAAATCATGCAACTGAAAGATCTCATAAAGACCGCATTCCATTTGAAAGAACTCAAAAATTCGATGGATTCAGATTCTGAGAGAAACATTCTGCGAAATGCTGCAATCGCAAATTCATAGAAGCAGTGCCCTCTGAAGGAAGACTCTCGTGAATTGTTCTCACATCAGAGAAAATGACAAATTAGTTCGTTGTCTGACTGAGTGATAGGTGAGCATTCTGAATCAGTTAAACAACATAAGAAAGAAGTCAATGACGGAACACATCACCTTACAATAATCAATATTCATAACGTCAGCAAAGTTACAGAAAAAACAAAAACAAATCAATAATATAATTTTGAAAAATGGCATAAAAATCAGCATTGCATCTAAGGTACCACCATCCATCTTCAAGCGAATCAGCGGCGGCGATGAGCAAACAAGCGAACAGTGAACAGTTGGAACAAAACAACAATTGTACAATCAAAATTAATCACTTGAATTCGACCACAAAAAAACGCATCTCTTATCTATCATATGAGGTATACATGCAAACGAAAATAATCAAGATGACATTTTCTCACATCATAGAAAATATTTTTCAAAGAAATTTCAGCGGCAAATTCTCCATCCAT